ACGTTTGTCAAAATCTCGTCGGGAAGGCCGGCAAGTGCGACATGGTGGCAAGCGGGCGTGCAGCAGGGCGTGCACCACTCCGACCGCATTCCGGGCGCGGCGCCGCCCTCTCTGCAGCACACTGCCATTTCGGCTTCTTCATCCTGATCGTCGTCGTCCTCATCGCAAAGGCCTGATCTTCACTCCGCCCGGCGAGGTTCATTTGTCCTCCTCCCGGCCTGCGCGGCCTTCGCCCAACCAGCCGAACGAACCCTGTGGCACTGTGAACCCGACTCGCACGGTGTGCTGGCACGCAGTCACACTTGTCGTTCGTCGCTCGATCGGCACTCCGTTCGGGCGAAGGTGGCCTGCCGCACAGCCTGCCGCACAGCCTGCCCTACAGGGCCTGCCCTTGTTCTCCAGGAATGCCGTGCCCTTGCTCGCCGCGGCCAACGGCGGCCAACCAACCACACCTGCGACGCAATTAGCACAATGTCTGTTCCGTGAAGCGCTTGAAGCGCTTGAAGCGCGGCGGGACAGCCGTCTCGCTTCTAATTGCCGTTTCTAATAACTTCTCGCGAAGTAATTAAAATTTGGGGCAAAACATGTGTGGCGACGTACTCCCGTTTCCCCCCGTCCTGCCCCGGCGCTTTCTGTGTAAAAACGACCACCGAGGGAAAAAAATGCACAACGAGCGCGAAGAAACCCTTTCGGTATTTTTCGTCCTTGTTTTTCAGCACAGTTTTTTGGACGACGCTCGGAAAACTGCACTGTTGTTGTCACGAGAAGCCCTCTTTGTAACAACTAAAACCCTCTTTATTTATTTCTCTCAGGAGCTACTCGTTTACAGAGAAAACAGTGCAAAGTATTCAAAGAAAATTGATTTTTAACCAAGTGTTTTATGCATGCCTTGGCCTGCAAAAATGATTTTTTAGTTAGTTGGCTGACGAAGAGCTGTATAACAAAGTTTAAAAAAGTATCTTGTACCTTCATGTACGCTCAAAATATTATTGCTTTTGAACGTTTTTTCAACGGAAACCACTGGTTATTCTTCATTTTCCGGTGTCGTATCCACTGCCCTTTCGACACGCGCGTGGCCGCCGCGTGGCCTGTCCAGCGAGGCCCGCCCTCGGAGATGCGACGCAATGCGACGCAATGCGAAGGAGGCGCGCCCGATTAGTATTTGAGAGGCGAACGCTATTGTTTTTGTTTCCCCCGAAACGTTTCGCGGGAGTCCTTTCCGCTCCGGCAGTGTGTGAGCGAGACAGAGCGTCCCCGCGGAGCGTGCGAGGGAGACGGGGAGTCGGTGCGTGCCTCCCCTCCTAATTGCCGGCGATGCCCGGCATTGGAGGAAAAGCTGTTGATTGTTTGGCCAGGGAACGTGCCCGGCCCCGGCCCGCTCCTGTTGCAGGCCGTCCTGGAAAACGCCCTGCCGCTCTGGCGCCGCCCCGCTTTTGGCCCCGCTCTGTGTGTCATTTCGTGGCTTCGGGGTATTTGTCTGCCCCTTTGACTCCTCGCAGTCCGCGCTCACACCCGCCAAATGGAATCAAGCTGCAGTGTGGCTGACTGGGCGACTCCGAGGGATCGCATCACCGCTCTGTCTCGGTCTCACTCATGCGTCGTCCCGTGGGAGTGCGAGAGAGACAGAGCGACGAAATGGAGCCTTCGGAACCGGGCCGCTGGACGTCGCTGGACGTCGCTTGGACGTCGCTTGGACGTCGCTGGACGTCGCTGGACGCCGGCCGGCTATCTGCGGGCCGAATCGCAAGGGCGGCGCGCGGCCACGGCGCGGCGTATGGCCGCGGGGAGTCATCGATTTATGCAAAAATGTCGTCCCGCCGCTAATTTATTCTCGCCGATTGGCGAGGACGGACAAATGCCCGGAAGGGCCCGGCTGCCACTACACTGGCCAGGCCCGGCCGTATCGAGGAGGGCATCGCAGCGCGAGCAGACGGGGGAGAGAGAGGGAGAGAGGGAGAGAGAGAGAGAGTGAGGGAGAGAGAGGGGGGGGGGAGAGAAAAGGGGGGGGGGTATGCAGATAGCGAACAATACGCAGATTGACAAGGGAACACACACAGACGGAACGTGGGGTAGACGACAGACGGACGGACGGGCGGCCAGACCATTCGGGGCCGCACTGGCACACTGAGCAGCGTCTCCGCCGAGCTCCGCGGCCGGAAAGTAAACTCCGGGATTCCTCCGGGTAATGACGATGCTTCAATAGTGGCGCTGCTCGCGTGTGCGCTCGCGTGCGCTCGCGTGCGGAGCGCGAGTTAACGCCGCGCGGGTGATACTTTAGCCTGCTTTCCAAACACGCCACGGTATATTATGCCCGGGCCGGCGCGGGGCGGGCCGGGGCGGGCCGGGGCGGCACCCCCACCGGGAAGCAGATGGACCACTGGGCCGCGGCTCGCACTCGGCTCGCGCTCGGCTTGCACCTGGTTGCCCGACCCCGGCAATAAAAGTGCACTCTGATTTGCATCGCGTCGCGGCTCTAGCGGGCCTCGCGCGCGGGGTATCGCCAGGGCCTCGGCCAGCGCCGCGCCGCCGTGTGGAGGAGGAAGGCACCAGTGGAGTCACACCGGGTCGGGGTCCCTCGGATGGGGCTCTCTTCTCTCAACAAGCTTGGCGACGGATCTGAGCTAGCGCCTGTGAACTGCTGGATAGGCACGCCTGTTACGCAGCGCTGTGTGGCGGGCTGGCCTACGCTGCAGGCGATTGCGATTGCGATTAATGGCTGGGCCACAGGCGCCCGCGTCTCCTACAAGCCGACAGACAGACAGACAGACAGACAGACAGACAGACAGACAGACAGACAGACAGACAGACAGACACACACACACACACACACACACACACACACACACACGGAGTGGCGACACTTGACCGGCACGGCCGTCCTAGCGCAAAAACATTGGAAAGACGCGCCGCTGGTCTTCCCTCTGGCGGCGCGGCCGTGGCGCAGCCAAGGCGCGGTAAAGGCGTGGCTTACCTCAACGAGGGAAAGATCCTGCTTCGCGTTGTTTTTTCCTCTTCGGCATCTGGCCGCGTCTGCGCGTCACGCGCCGCGTTTCTTTGCATTCACTTAGTTTAATCATTTTCTCTTAGACGAAAAAAATGAATGCGGGGTGAAATAAAAATGCGCCGGGCATAATGAGGGCGTCGTTGTCTCTTCCGATCGGCGAAAATGAATGCAGGTCACGCGTCGCGTCGGGGCTTTTTACCCCCGTTCCGTTGGCCGCTCGGGCAACGATTCAAGGAATGCCCGCGGCAGTCGCGGCATCGCGGCAGTCTAGGCGGTGACGGCGGCGCGACACTAGCGCGTCTCCGAGCGATTTATTTCTCATACTTGCTGTGCGAAAAAGCCGGCCGACACCTGCGCTATTCCCCGCCGCGCCGCATCGCCGCTGCCGGCCGCCGCGGTTTTTTGAATATTCCCCGGCTTCCCTTCCCCGGGCTTGCCTGTGGCTTGCCCTCGTTGGCCTGCCCGTCGTCTTCGCCGCGTCCGGGAGGCCCTTTGGGGACTGGTGGTCGCTTTCCGCCGGGCGGGGCCTCGAATCTGATGCAGTCCGCCAAAGCTAATTGAACGTACCCGTCATATAAACGACGGTGACCCAAATTCTTGGTGGTGGTCGACAGCGTGCAAAAACAATCGGACCGTGTGTACGTGTCCCACCGTCGAGCGCCTTAGTTGTGTGTGTGTGTGTGTGTGTGTGTGTGTGTGCGTGTGTGTGTGTACGTGAGTGTTGGGGCCGGCAGGAGGGCCACCGTCCTCGGCAAGGAAACCTGCAGGAAAACATGGAAGTTCCGGGTCATCGTGCCTGGTGTCTGAGATGCAGTAAAAATGCAGGATGAATGGAAGAGAATAAAAATGCTCGTCAGAAAAATTCGCTGCAAAATGCTCGCATACACGTTCTCCGTTACTTATTATCATATATTTTAATAACAGTACTGTTATCTCTTTACAGCTTTTGTCTTTTTTTTTGTCTTCTACAGTACCTGCGTTACACCATCACTGAATCGTTTTCGTTACATTTATTAATACTTTCAGTAAAACACTCGGAACATTGTCATGCATGTGATTAGGAACTTACGTACGCAAATACGTCATTGTTTAGTCGTAATTATGCTAATTAATTGCGTCTTTCGGTAATGTGTGCGTGGGTTATTTGTACGAATAATAGATTAACAGGAACTTCCAATTGCAGATGAGACGTCGCGAGTTCGCTCGATGTCGGCAGCCCGCTGCTGAAGCGCTCAAGCATTTTAAAACGATTTCTAAATAACAACTCTCTTTTTTAGATCTCTTGAAGCACGCCCGGCCCGCTGTGCGAAGCTACTCCTGAAGGGAAGACTGTGGCCGCTGGAACTCGTCCTCGCCGTCGTCGTCGTCGTCCTCCTCGCCGTCCTCGCTCGGCGCCTCGCCCGCTGTCAGTTCCTCGCCGTCGTCGTCGAAGAACAGATCCTCCTCGCCGCCCTCCTCGTCGTCGTCATCCGCGTCGTCGTCGGCGACCTCCGGCGGCGTCCCCGGCGTGTGCCGCGGAGTGTGCACCGGAGTCTGCACCGGCGTCTTCCTGGCGGCCGGCGTCTGCGGGGGCGTCTGCTTCGGGGACTGCGGGGGCTGCCTCGGGGAGCCGTGGCGGCTGGGCGGCCGCGGTGGCGGCGCTAGGGGATCCACGGCTTGGGCAGCTGCGGCAGTGGCAGCGGGCCTCGCCACGACAGCTGCAGCTGCGGCAGGGGCTGTCGCAGCGACTCCCGCCAGGACAGCGGCGGGCGCGCGAGGGCGGGCGGCGGCAGCGCCGGCAGCGCTGGCAGGGCCGGCAGCCTTGCCGGCGTGGACGACAGCGACACCTGCGTCGACGCGTCCGTGGTCGCGTCCGTGGTCGCGTCCGTGGTCGCCGACCACGCTGACCACGATCCGAGGAGACGGCTGCTTCGGCGCCGCTGCACGGCCAGCCACTGTCCGGCGCGGCGTGGTAGGGGCGGACACGCTGGCCGGCTTGGCGGCCTTGTCGGCCGGGCTAGCACCCGGGGCCCTCGCTGCTGCTCGCGTCGAGCACTTCTTCGCTTCCGCTCCGTCCGCGTCCCTGCAGCACACGCCGCGTTAGGCCGCCGCCACGCCAAGACCCCCCCGACCCAGAGACGCGGCGAAAACCGCGGGATAGATCACCTTGGAATAGCGTGGCCAGTAAACAAGTGAATGCTAGGAGCAGGGCCCCCAGGTTAATACATTGCAAGAAGCTGTCGGCAGAAAGTCGGTTACTGCTTTGTTAGGTCGAAGGGCAGCCCTCAGGGCGGCGCTTGGTGCCGGGAGGCCCAACAGCACTTCCCGTCAAGTGGGCGAGTTTATGTGAAAAATCGACTAGTCAAAAAACAGGCCAAAAACGTTCCTGTCGCCCTAGGTAAGCTCTGTTACTGCCGCTTTAGTTCTGCATGCCTCGCCTGTTTAGAAGGAACATTTTATTCGGAGTTTAAATGATTTCCAAGCGTTTCCACAAACAACTTGCTCGCAACACGTAACTAGGTGAAGGTGCCTGCCGCAGAGACGACTGCGGTCGGTTCGAACCACGTGGCTAGTTAGTTCCAGCTACTACTGCAGCGGTTACATTGTAAGTCGTTACTTAGAAGCATCCAAATGCCACTCATGGGCCTTACCAGCTGCTCGAAGAACTTCGACGTGAACACATGACGATCTCCACAAACAAAATCAGTCTCAAGAGTTTTCGTAAGGGTTAAACTACCATGATCAGGAAATTCCGGTGAGTGTTGTGAAAGTTTCTGCCAGACTCGAACGAATACTTTCCGAGCCTGCACACCGTAAGATGACTGTCACCGCCGTAATTCTTGTATGCATCGCGCATCAATCACGTTTTGTCACACGGGACGGATTGCCATAAAGAACAGTTATGGCTGTGGGCTGTGCAGATGTGTGCTGGCTCCGAAAGTACCCCGTGCGACCAGCAAAATAATTAACAATATTCACCGGACGCGGTGGTTTTTTTTTTCGCGAGGTGTAAGTCACCCTCTACCCCCACCCGAAACAGTGTACGGCCTCGTTAGTAAAGACAAGGTACAGCCGAAGCCAGGAATACAACCTATGGCGGTGGAGGTGGTAGCAGCGGTGCAGGTGTCACCGGCGGCCAAGGCAACGCCGAGGCCTGGCGCCGTGGACTCACTCCCATCGGGGGCCCGTCGGGGGCGGCCCGCTGCCGGGCGAGGACCCCGTCGTGGCTTGGTGGTGGTTGTTGTTGTTGTTGTTGCTGCCGGTGTTGTTGGCGGCGGGCTCGTCCAGTGTGGGGTGCGAGCCGGTGATGGGCTTCCGGGTGCGGCGGTAGTGCCGGATCTCGGCCAGGGCGGTGCGGGACGCGTCGTAGTCCTGTGTGCGCGCGGCGGCCGGCAAAGGCCAAGGTTACTAGGTTAGCCACGGCAAGCAGGCCGAGGCGCCCCTCGCTCAGCCCCCTCCACTGCTTCAAATTCGGTTAGTTTGGTTAACACTACGAAAGCCCGTTTCTCTCTGTGTTTGAGTCGTTCTCCCCCACGCGGTGACTTACCCGCGCTGTCAAGCGCACTGTTACCTTGTCTCGCTCGGGGCTCCAGATCTTGTGCCGCAGCGCGGCCTGCAGGTCCTCACGCATGCGCTCGAGCTGGCGCACCACGATGATCAGCTCCATCTGGAACAGCGACTCGAAGCTGCTTTTGTTGGCCGAAACAATCCAAGGCAGATAAGGCAAGCACTATGCTGCGGGGGTGGGCCGGACCCATTGGCTGGGCCATTGGGCCGAGCCTTGCCGCCGTGCCCTCCGCCCCGGGCTGCGCCGTGCCTACCTCGGACAGCGAATCCAGGTCGAGCGTGAGCGGGTCCCGATTCGGATCTGAGGCACAGGAACACACAGTCAGTGCATCGCTCTCCCGGAGGCCGTCGTAGAATGCTGGAATCTGCGTCCGCGGTACGTACCGGTGAGGCCGTTCATACGGCGGGCGTAGGTCACCTCCTGCTCCAGCCAGCGCCGGCGCGCCTCCAGCTGCCGGCACAGCACCAGCTGGTTGTCCAGGCGCCCCCACCACAGGTGCCGGCCCGCCTCCTGCGAGCCTGCGGACCAGTCATCGATATACATTTAGTGCGCTACGGTGCTTTTACGGGCCGGCACAACAATGACAACACTCGCTGGCCGAACGGGGGAACGTGTCGTGCGGGACGGGGCGTCGGCGTCGAGGCGTGGCGGGCCGGGGTCCGGCGGACGATTCGGCCGCGGGCCATGCGGGGTACTTAGAGCGCCGAACTGACCCTGGCCGCCCTGCCCCTCGGAAAGGTTACGGCGTTACGGCCGCCACGCCCACATCCGCCACATCCCGCTGCGCCGCACCGCGCCGCGCTGGCGTGACCCGAACGCCGCACGGAAAAGGGACAAAAACAAGAAGGGAGAAACTTTGGGCCGCACAATGCGTCATAACGCGAGGACGTGATCATTGATTGGCGTTCCGCAGGCACGACGCGGCGGACGGGCGGACTGTCCGCGGGGGAGGGACGGCCGGGCCGAGGAAGAACAGCGCCAACAGCGCCAACAGCGGAAAGAGGTGAAAAAGCACCGCGCCAGTCAAGCCGTAGCAGCGGCCGTTTCCCTGCCCTGCATGCCTTGCATGTGTCGGGACCATCACGGCCAGTGCGCTCGCTCGTCCCGCGCGGCACGGCACGCCGATGCATCTCCACCCGCCCGCCGTGGGCCGCGGCTGTGTTCCTCAGTTACGCCCTTCGCGGCCCGGCGTGGGAGTGTAGTGTTGCAGTGTGGGGCATCCCGCACCGACGGCCGTGGCCCTGACGTCACCGTGACGTCACCGCGCGGACAACCTAATATCCGGCGCGCGCAATTTCTCATCCCGGCACGCGAATTTTTCATCCCCGGCGCGTCAATCTGATTCGTGGCGCGTTTATTTTTACTGGGACCCTGTCAGCGAAGGGCGGGCGGCGCGGCGGCGTCTAGGGAAGGAGAAGGGGAGGGGGGAATCCTTGTCATAAAGCGACAGCTCCGTAAATATCCCGGCGAGACGCGCCAAAAGCCTCACCTTTCTAAGCCGCCCCGCTGTAAAGATATTCGGGTACCGATTTCGGTCGCGGCGGCGGTGGTCGCGCGGATTTCCTGATTCATGCACAACTATAAAACGAAGCAACCCGACACCCATCGGGGCTCGGGTGGCCGTCCGCGCGCGGGAGGGCCGAAGCCGAAGGGACGCGAAGTAAGCCACGCCGAACCGTCCGGTGCGTTGACATTCTGCCGTTTTATTGGGTCGCCTGCTGTCGGGCCGGAAATCGCCGCTTGAGCGTTTTTAACGATCGATAAGAAAGATCGTCGCGGATCCCAAAGTACCGCTCGGTGGCCGACGCGGGGCGACGCGGGGCGACGCGGGCCGCGGGCCGTCGCGGGGAGCGTCGCGACGGTCACGTCGCCGTCCCCGCGACGCCGGCGAGGCGGCGGGCCGCGGCGGGCCGAGATAGGCCGTTGTTGCGGCCGTAAAACGGCAAGGCAAAGGCACGCTCAAGGCGAGCTGAAAGGCAAGCCCGACTGCCGGCGACCAAGAGCCTCCCGAGCCTCCAGCGCGTCGCCTCGTAAAATGGCGCACAATTTATCACCTGCGACCGTTTATAACAGGGAAAGAATAAAGATAAATTCCGAGGTATCGGGTTATGCTAGTCGGGCCGACGGGCCGGCCAGCGCCGCCGCCGCTGCGTAAGACGGGGGAGTGCCGGCCGCGCCGCGCGCACGCTTCGAACCGTCAAAACGAAAGCATAAAACTACCGCTGCTGGGACTCGAACCCGCAACCCGGGCCGGCCCCGCCAGGCCCCGCCCGGCCGAACACTCACGCATCGCCTGCTCCTCCTCATGGCGGTCGAGCTCCGTCTCCAGGCCGCCGATGTAGCGCTCCAGCTCGGCGTTGGACCTCGAAAGGGCGTCCCTGCCAAACAAAACAGAAAACAACGTCAAGGATGCACTACTACTTGGCCACGCGCCGCGCGAACCGCCACATCATCGGCTTCTTATCAATCAGCACGCCACGCCGCGCCACGCCTTGGCCGTGATGGATGGGGCGCTGCCCGGCCCAACCCCTCGCTACCCGCGAAAAACCAACGCCGGCAGTTCCACTGGGTGGCGGACACAACACCGCAACTTTCGCGGACTTCCCTGCGACGTGCGCTGTTCTGCCTGGAGGTCTGCTACCCGCTCTTCCACGACACTCGGCGCGCAGTGCATTTTTCCGCCTGTAAGACGCCCTTCTTCGGGCTGCCGCCGCTGCGGGGGTGGGGGTCTATTTCCGGGCCTCTGTGTTTACTGCTATGGCAGCCGATAGTCCGCCTTGCATCCGACACGGCCTCTCCCCGGCCCTCCCCCTGACAGCCCTGTTGCGTGTAAAAAGAACAGCCCTTCCACCCCCGCGACGGCCCGACGGCCCACGGGCCCCACGGGCCCTGCGCCCACCGCCCTCCTCCCCGTACACGACCTTCGACTGCTTCCGGACGCACCGCCGCCAACCCTTTCACCCTGAGGCCCCCTCGGCCCAATCAGAGAGTGACGTCAGGTTGGGCTGCGTCAGGTGTCACAAGCAGAGAAATTCAGGTTTAATCCACCGCCGCCACAAACTTGGGTTTGATTCTTCGACGGTTCAATTTCTGCCACAGCTCGGTGGGACGGCTTTCTAGTCTCTTGTCTTCCTCGACGCCGCCGGCTCGCGGCTGGACGCCGCCTGCGTTCGGCGGGGTAGGCAGCCCCCGCGACGGCCGTGCAGAGGAGACTGCCCGCGCGCCGGGCGGTGGCCGCCGCCTTGGCTTGGCCGCTGGCTCGCGTTCCTGCAGGACGACCACCCCTTCCTGGAGGGGCGGCCAACTGTCCGGCAGTCCGGCACCACTCTCCGGCACGCGAGCCCCGCTACGCGCCGTGCCGCCGAGTGAGGCGAGGGAGCGGCACGGAAACCAGAGCGAGCACCGCGTCGAACACGAGTACTGTAGTTTGATTCCGAACACTGCCTCGTCGCTGTCTCTATCTATACTCTCTCTCGCCTGTGAGGCACCCCATGGGCGTGAGAGAGACAGGGCACTGTTCGGAATCAGCCTGAAGAAGCGGAGCAAACAAGTAACAAGGGCGATTGCTCGACGACGGTGGAAGCGGTGTGGTGGCTGGACTGCATTTCGTTTAAGTGGGCAATGATGCCGAAAAACACTCCTACTTTTTCTCAGCTGGTATTAATTTGAGAAGGAGGCTACGGGGTCAGGAGGCACAAGATAATGCTATGGTGAGTTCGTAGGGGAAGGGTTTGGGGTGGGTCTCGAAGGGAAGGGGGTTGGGGGCGGCCCACGAACGCCGCGCACCGCGCAGGGGAGGGCTGGCGCTCCCTGTCCTCAGAACCACCAGCCAATTTATGTTTCTGTTTCCTCCTCCCTCGCCCCGACCCCTTTCTGTGACGATTCACAACAGGGCACGCCAACCTTACCATCCCTAAGGCCCTCTCTTTCTCTTTCTCTCTCACCCCCTCACCCCAACAGCGAGGCCTATTCCTCCCTGCAAACTGTGCCCGTTCCGAGATGGGCCGACTCGACTGCTTCCAGCAGGTGCCAGGTGACAGTTGAGGTAAATCGCCGAGGTGCTCTGTGCCTTTGTGGGTGAGCTCCAATTGAGTTCATTTGCTTCTGTCCAATTTCCGCCGAGTCCTGATCTCCCCCTCCGCTTCTCCAACGCCCCCCACCCCTCCTCTAGGTCGCTATCGTAGATGACTATCTCCACTGCCTGCAAATAGTAAGCATGTCCTTGCGACGTCTCCGCACGTCGCCGACGCCGACTTCGACCGAAGGAAGGCCGGGCTGCCTGCTTGACGGGGCGCGCCTGCCTGCCTGCCCGTCTGTGCGGCCGCCGCCAGGCAGGCCGCCAAGCGTGCCTCCGAGTACGTTGGGCTGCCTACCCACCAGGCGCTCCGAGTGACGGCTGCGAGGCAGCCGCAGCCCACACGACAGACTGACTAGTTCGAAATTGGAAAAGGATTTTGCAGGAACGAATCCCTATTACGTCCAAGGCCGGCGCTCATTCCGCCAAGTTCTTCCGCCGCCCGGGGGAGGGGGAGGCGGCCACGTCGCCGTTGACAAGGACGGCGACGACGCGACGGCGGAACGATATGATAGTTGGCAAACTCCCCGCGGCGCCCGCAATCTTTTCGTTCCACTTTCATTTGTTTTTCCGCGCTGCTTTTGGTCCACCCACCCGCTGGTAGGAAAAATATCGCGGCGGGGGGCCGGCGGGCGGAGTCGAACCCAGACCCGGGGCGGGGCGGGGCGGCCGCACGCTCGTTACCGGCCTTACGACGAGTGTCACGCAAATAAGTCGGGACGGGCCGCGCTTTGCTGGCCGTGCTGGCCGTGCCCGTGCTGGGCCGGCCGCGCCGTCACCGCCTTTCGGGCATCCGGCGGGCCCGGCAGGCCACTGCGTGATCGGGGCGTTGTCGGTGTGGCCGGGGCTCCCAGTCCGCCTCAGGGACTTCGAGACCAGGACGGGCGTGGCGTGGACTGGCGGCGAGCGCGGCCTGGCGGCCTGGCGGGCGGGCCGAGTGTGGGTGCGGGCGGTGCGTGTGATGAGGGCACAATTTGGCCAGTAAACAACGAGGAAGACAATGCCGGCGAATTTTCGGGACGGACAATGGAGAACCCTGAAGATTGACTTAGTATGGGAGGTTGGTGAACATGGTGAACTTCTTACCGTCTAGAGTTAAAACACTCCGCAGTCAAAACACACCGGTGCCGATGTGCACTGACATTTTTGAAACTGGCGCAGCGTTTCCTATTCCTTCGCGGCCAGCAGTGGGACGGGGTAGGGCGTCGTCGGCGCCACGCGTCAAACGCTGCCGTGTTCATGTCTCCGCGGAACGACGCCTCGCCACCGCCCCGCCCCGCCCCGCCCCACCCCGCCCCTCCGCGCTCCGGCAGGCGGGGCCGCACTACTGCGACACTGGGACACTACATCCGCTGGCGGCCCAACGATGCCGTCCGTGAGGTGGGCCGCCGAGTGCCGCCGAGTGCCGCCGAGCCGGGCAGCCTTGGAGGGCCTTGGCCGTGAACGCGGAGAAAACCAAGACGGCGGTCGTAAAAATAAAAATTGACTGTCGCCCGTCGCTGCGGGGCGTCGCAGTAAGGCCCAGATAGCCAGAGATTTTGTCTTAGCCTCCTCACCAAAATAAAAAAAAAATAAACAAGAAATGAAAGAAATCGTTGATATGTTTTGTGGAGATGTGTGAAGGTGCATGCATATCGATGCTCTTTTGGCCGACATACCGATTGGGCTCAGTGTTACAACACTACACGATCACGAACAGACACACGCACGCACACACAGACACTCTCGCACGCACACACGTGGTCCTGATAGTGTCTGGGGCATTGATCGCCGGGGCAGGCGCGCGCCCACCCCCTCCGCGAGTTCATTTGTCATGCGAGAGGGAGAGAGAGGGAGAGGGTAGCCGCCACCGCCAGGTGCCTGGCCCGCCGCGCCGTGCTGTTGCCCGGCTCGTCTTCTAGTTTTTGTTTTTGTTTCAATTTGGGGCTCCGCGTCGTGGGACTCCGCGGCCACTAATCTTAGTTTGCTAGCCGGGCCGTCCGGGCCGCCAGACCCGCACCCACGCACGCCCCAATTGCCGACAAGTTGTTGCAATTCCAATTAAGCCGGACGAGGCGACTTTGTGGCTGCGTTTCCACTACTAGCCGGCAGACGGGCCGCCAGGCCAATCGGAGGCGCTTACCGGGCAGGGTGCGGCAGGGCGGCGGGGCCCGGGCGTCCGTCGCATGCAACGCGGCCGTGTCATTCGGCTGAGTGCCCCATTCCCATTGTAGTGGGCGCCGCTTTGGCCGTTACAAAGTATTGCCATTTTTTAGGCACGGCGCCGCCTAAGTGGCCGCGCTTCCGAGCGGAGCCTCGGCGGAGCATCCTGGGGCATCCTTGGGGCATCCTTGGGGCGCGTAGTCGAGGGCCACGCCCCGCTGTGGGAATTGGCGACTCCCCCGCACGGCCGGCAACGAGGAAGTGTAATGGTGCAGCAATTACTGTGGGTGGCAGCAAGGTAGAGGGCAAGGTCGAACTCATCTGTGGGAGTGTGTTTTTCGAAGGCGTGCGAGTTAGAGGCGGGGCGGAGAGCGACTGACCTGTAGCCCTGCATGTGGTCCAGCTCGACGCGCAGCGACCGAATGTCGCCCACCATCTTGACCAGCCCCACGATGTCCTCCTTGTTCCTCAGCAGGCTGAACAGTTCCTCGCGGCCGTGCAGCAGCACCTCGATGTCCTTGGCGTGCCGCACGAACAGCATGAGGTCGTCCTTGGTCTTGGCCAGGGCCTCGATGTCGTCCTTCATCTTGAGCAGCGCCATCACGTCGTCCTTCTTCAGGGTGCCGCTCTGCTCGGTCTTGCTCTTCACCACGGCCTGGATCTCGTGCCGGCTGTTGAGCAGCCCGCGGATCTCGTTCTTGCTCCTCACCAGCGACAGGATGTCGTCCTTGCTCTTGACGAGCGACTGGATCTTGAACTTGAGCTTGGTCAGGGACTGGATCTCCTTCTTGCACTTGATGAGGAACTGGATGTCCTCCCTCCACTTGGCCAGCGACTGGATCTCCGCCTTGTAGTGCATCAGGGCCATCAGCTCGTCCTTGTGCCGCACCAGGGCCTGCAGCTCGTCCTTGTTCTTCATGAGGTAGTTGATGTCGTTCTTGATCTGCAGCAGGCCCCTGATGTCGGACATCCTGTCCAGCAGGATCTGGATGTCGGCCTTACTCCGCATCAGGGAGTGGATCTCGTCCTTGCAGCGGATGAGGCCCTGGATGGCCTCGCGGTTCCTCACCAGGTCCTGCAGATCACTCTTGTAGCTGGACACGGCCAGCAGGTCCGCCTTGGTGCGTGCCATCGCCTGCAGCTCGAACTTGTTCTTGGCTATCGAGTGGATGGCCTCCTTGTTCTTCAACAGGTTCGTGATGTCCTCCTTGTACTTGACCAGGCTGAGGATCTCGTCCTTGTACCGCAGCAGGAACTGGATGTCGTCCTTGCTCTTGATGAGCGAGTACACCTCGTCCCGGATGCGCAGCAGGGTCACGATGTCCTCCTTGCTTCTGACCAGGCTCTGGATCTCCTCCTTGTTGCGCAGCATGGTCTGGATCTCGCTGCGCGCGCGCACCAGCGCCTGCAGGTCGTCCTTGTTCCTCACCAGCACGTCGATGTCCGCCTTGCTCTCCAGCAGCATCTTCACGTCGTCGAAGCTCCTCACGAGCCCGTAGATCTCGTCCTTGCTCTTGAGCAGGCTCTGGATGTCCGCCTTGCTGCGCAGCAGGCTGTTGATGTCGTCCTTCATGTCCAGGATGGCCTCCATGTCGGGCCGGTTCTTGACGAGGTTCTGCACGTCCTTCTGCGTGTGCAGCAGGTGGCAGATGTCGTTCTTGCTCTTGACGAGGGCCAGCAGGTCGTCCTTGTTGCGCAGCAGCACGTGGATGTCGTCGCGGCTGCGGATGAGCGCGTGCAGGCTGTTCTTGGTGTCGATGAGGGCGCTCAGGTCCTCGCGGCTGCGCACCAGCGTCATGATCTCCGCCTTGTTCTTGGTCAGGCTGTGCAGGTCGTCCTTGGTCTTGCGGAACGCGGCAACGGACAGCTCGTCGCGGTTCGACATCAGGGTGCGGATGTCGTCCTTGACCTTGCCGATGACGCCCTGGATGTAGTCCTTGCTGCGGGGCGCGGCCCGCACCTGCCTGCCCTCCTTGCCCCTCATGTTGGCGGCCGAGGCGGCGGCCAAGGCGGCGGCCAGAGCGAGAGCGTCCGTGCGGCGGGCCCCGCGAGCGCCGACTGCGCCCGCCGCCCGGCACCGCGACCCCGCGACGCCGCGACGCCGCGACGCGCCCACCCCCTCCGCCGCGGGCCGCTCTGCCCGGCTCTGCCCATGCGAGGGAGGGGTCGCGGCGATCGCGGCGCCCCAGCAGCGCGCCCAGCAGCCAAACGGCGTGTTTTGGGGAAAACGGAGAGTGGGGTGGGGGCGACCGGGGCCACCGGAACGCCCCAGGCACCTTCAAGGTGAGTAGCAATAGCTGCTGCCCAGCTAATGCCCCAGGTAAAAGACTATCTGCAGTGGTGGGTGGGGCCCGAACGCACGAAACTCGGACCACAACGTTTCGCGTCTATAGCGCAAGTGCCATCTGGACTCTAGAGAGAAGACTGCCAGTGTGGTGACAAGGCGAGCGCTTTGGTTTTTCTTTCCGCCTGGATGCAGCCGAGCACCCAATAGCCCGGTAGAGCGCGTCCCCACAGTCCCCACTCTCCGCAGCTGCATTTTGGCCATTCTATGCAAATGGGCAGTGGGACAGTTCGCGCCTTGCCCTCGTGCTTCTATTTTTCAGGCGGGACGAGGTGACCCCGGTAGAAAGAAGACGAGACCTTGTTTGAAATATACTTTAATTGTTGCAACTGTTTAAACGGAAGGCTTCTTGTCGAACACGGAGAACGTCAGCTTGCTGGCCAGGGTGTTGAACTCCTGGGCTGTCAAGGCTGAGGGCAAAACACGGGGGGAAATCAGTATTTGAAACACGATTTTGGATTTGTTTTTGTTTGAGCGCTGTCAAAGTACTCACGCTTTCTGTTGATCACTGGCTTCATGGGCTCAACGGCGTCCATTTGCACGACGGGCATGACCACCGTGTCCTTGTCCATTTCGATCTCCCTGGCCAAGCCGGCGACGTCCTTGTCCGCGATGATGATCATGGGCATGGCGGCAATGTCCTTAGCCATGATGATGGAGTCCTTGGCCATGATTGAGTCCTTCGCCATGATGGCGTCCTTGGCGACGATGGCGTCCTTGGCCATGATGGAATCCTTCGCCATGATGGAGTCCTTGGCCATGATGGCGTCCTTGGCGACGATGGCATCCTTGGCCATGATGGAGTCCTTGGCCATCAGGGTGCTGTCCTTGGACTCGACTTCCTTCCTGTCGGCGGGGACGGCCGCCGTGGCCGCGGCCACGCACAGAGTCAGCAGCACTAGAACCTTCATGTTGACCTCTGGGGAGTGGAATGGCGGTTTTCTCCAGCCCCGCCGCTCTTATAGTGGCTCGCTCCGGGGCGCATGCATGAGGCCTACGGGGCCATCAGCCATCTGGCCGTTCCAGCGATACTGCTATCCGCCGGCCGACGACCCTGCCAGCCACTAAATACCTTGTCTTGTCGCGCCCGCGGCGAGGACGGCCAGTTGGCCACCCTACCTGCGCGCCGGTGGATAGGGTGGCCAACCTCTCGGGCGGCTGACGACGACACACTCCGCGCTGCGGACGAGGCCGCCTGCCAGCTAGGCAACCCATCCGCCACCCGGACAGTGAGGCCTGCCTGCCCAGCGCGGCGCTCCAGCCGTGCGAGGTAGGCATCCCAACCAACGGCACGGCAGCAGGTGTGGCCGGCGCTTCGGCAGCGGGCCGCCACTGCTGGCCAACCACAACAACAACAACAACAACAAGGCGACGCGATCCGTGACCGAGTGCCTCGCTGCAGCTGGGAGCGTCCATCCGCACTGCCCTGCCCGCCTAGCCTGCCGCTCCTGCCGTTGGGCGCCTCTATGCATCCACAATCACTTAGCTGTCCGCGGCGGCGTGGCGCGGCGTGGCGCCCCGATGCCTGATGGGCGTGCCGTGCCGCGCCACTCACACTGCACTCCGTGGCGTGCGTGCGCGTGGCACCCCGCCAGGAAGGTGTCGTAAACCACCAGGCGATTGGTCCAGAAGCCGATCGGTTCGTGGGAACCGAACAATCGCGTCAACAGCGACCAGCAGCAGCGACTGCGGCAGTGATCTAGTACGTCCAGTACACTGTGCTCGCCGTGCCACACGCCGTGCCTCTCGGTGACGTGTTGACAGCGCGTCGGCTGCTCCAGCACCTGGCGGTTCACTCCGAACGGCGCGCTGTCTCCCTCGCACTCGCGGCGCGTCGCCTTGCCTTGGGGCGGCGAGAGAGAGACAGAGCGACGGGCAAGACAAGGCGCACTCGTTAAGGGCGCTGATAAATAATGAGTGCGTGGGCGGGGCGCGCCGAGGGCCGCGACTACACTGCCAGAGACCGGCCAATGTGTCTCGGAAAATAAGTGGAACTTTGGCCCAAAGGTTTTCCCCGAGTACCCCACGCTGCGCGCTCTGGGCTGTTCAATACATTGTTTGCATTCCTGCCTCTGAAATGCACGCGCCCGCCAGTCAAGGCCCAGTGGGAGGCTGTGCGAGCTTGGCGCGAGCTTGACGGGGGTTCGCGGCTCGGAAAACAAGCGCTGCGCTATTTTTAACGACTTTTTAACTTTTTCGCGGTGACACTTCATTGCCTCCTTCACCTGTCGGCTTGTCTCTGTTTTTACGTGCTCTTTTTACAGGCTGTTCAGTTCGACTCACTCGGATCCTCGGGTCCTGTCCCGTCGCGGTGATCCTCCTCGACGGCGTGCTTCCTTCGGTTCGCATGTTCGTACGTGATTGGGCGGGCGCTATCCGAGTCAGCGTCTCCGGGCGTTCTCTCTCTCTCTCACACACCCCCACGGGGCGGCCGGCGAGTGCGACAGAGACGGACGCTCGAAAGCGCCACTCCGAGTGCTGACGGGATGTGGGGATTGAGCGGCGGCAGTTTGCGCCGTGACGAATGCGGCGGCATGCTGCCGGTGAAATGACACACAACGCCGCCTGGCTCAGGCTCGCTCTGGCTGTGCGGTCGGCATTCCAGGCGACACCGCGCCGCGACAAGTGTGGAGTCGAGTGTATCGTTTCGGCGCGGGAATCGATTACCGCCGACCCACTGCCAACGGAATGGTGCATTTCGGCGCCCCTTTCGCGGCGTCATCGCCATGGGCGTGTCGCCGTGCCGTCCGTGCACCGCGCGGCGCCACGCGAGGGCTCCAGCCAGCTCCAGCCAGCTCCAGCCAGCTCCAGCCAGCGCGCTGCACTCGTTGTACAACGCGGAGCCGAGTTTTTGCTGCGCCTGGAAGTAGGCAATTTGTGTTGCACAACGCGGCAATTAGGCAAAAAGCGTCTCCAAACTGTGCGAGAAAACACACGGGCGCCGCACTCATCCGCACGCACCGGTCGCAGGTTGTACCGGCTCGGCGCAGCGCGCTGTAGTTACCTCTCGCGCGGCCCCCCGGAGCACCACGTATTGGGGGCGCCCGATAAGCCCCGGCTGGATAGTCCGTCCCTGCCGGGGCCCTGCCGGGCCCTACAGTGTCGGGGCGGAAGGGCGTGGGGCAGGCAGTCTAGCCCGAGACGCCCACCGGCGCTACACGCCTCGAACGACAAGACGACTTCGACAAGGCGGCCCCTCCGACCGCCTTCGACAACCACGTCGTATCGGTGAGAGCGCGACGTGCTTCCTGGCCGCCTCGCTGAATCTTAAGCCAGCCGTCCGAAAGGGCTTCCTAGAGGGGCGTAGACCACTATTCTCTAAAGCACAGCCGTCGATCGGGGGCATCCAGCAGTGACTGGTGACAGCTGACCCGTGGCCGCCACACTGCGCGCAGCCACACTGCCACAATGTCTGCACTCGCTCGGCGTGCGCACTTCCTGCCGCTAGACCGTTTCTGAACGACATTTTTAACGCTCCGCTGGTCCTGAAAAACACTAGGCAGCCTCGCGAGTTCGACGGCGGGGCAGGCCGTGCGCGCGCCGTGTGCGCGCCAGGCACGACGCCGACGCCTCCATCTATCACGCGGAAGGAGTCTGGTCGCCACCGAACAAATCACTCGCTTCGCGTCGCGGCGCGTCGCGGCGCGTCCCGCCGTGTGGTCTAAATTCGGTGCGCAATCGAGCATCCAATCCATACACGCTGGATTACCGAGCGTCCTTCAACCGTTTGCTGTTGTTGTTGCCGTTGTTGTTGTTGCTGCCGCGCGTGTTGTTGGCACTCGCAGGTGTTGTTGTTGCTGCTGCTCCTGGAGTAGGAAGGGGTACACCGCTTATGGGCGCTGCTCTATCGGCGCGGTTTTTCCCCAAATTGTGGGCCAGCCAACCACGGGGAAGACGAGAGAGGAGATGCCAATTTTTCTACATCCTTGTATGTGTGTGTGTGTGACGAGAGTGTATGGGTGACGGTGTGTGATATTACCAGACCGCCGCCGCCGCTGTGGTTCGCCGAATGCCTTTTCGTGTGGCATCCGTTTCGGCAAGAGCCTAGTCAGGCTCTCAAACACATACATTCACATGACGCACACACACAGACAGACACGAGCGCACGCGCACATACCGTTCACGGAGTGGCGGCCGCAAACACTGAAACCTACACTCAAAGGTGGAAAAAATAATGTCGACTTTATGAAAAATGGTTTTTGTGATTTTGTTTGGCGAGGCGGCGCGCCGCAACGACTTTATCCACCGCGGCCTTCCCTCGCCCGCCGTCTCGGCAGCAACGGCAGCAGCGAGGTGCAACATTGGCCACATTGCCCTTTTATCGCTTCGACATCTCGTTAGACAAAGGACCGCGGCTCGGCCACCGCCTAGCACCTTCGCCTCCGCCAGCAGCCCCGGCCTGCCTCCAGCCCCGCGCGGCCGCGGGCCTTCCCTGCCTCCTGCCCGCTGCCGGCGGCCGCGCCGCCCGCCCGCCTGCCTGCCGGGCTCGCTGACGGGAGGTGGCGCGGCGCTGACGGGCTGGCGGCCCACGCCGTCAAGTAGTTGTGCCCCGCCGCTAGCAGACGACGCAGCGAGCAGACGACGCGGCTGGCTGACGACGCGCGCGCGTGCCGATACCACGACCACGACCGGCATGGTGGCGCGGCGCGACGGCAGTGGTGTTGCGTGAGGCCGCGACCACGACGACCTGCTCCTCGCGCACCTCACCTCCGCGACGTCGCCCCTAGGATAACATCGCCCCTTGACAAAGGTCAGTGCACGCGGCGCGACGCGACCCGTGGATCACCGCCGAGGATCACCGCGTTTTAGCGTCATGGTGCGTCCCGCTGAATGGACGACCCTTGGCCGGCACTGTGATGTCTCTTCGAGGAAAATGTTGGTGTCTCGTGAAGGGCGAGGCCTGCGAGTGTTGTGCAAAGGTTGACATAACGAAGGAAATTGAACTTGAACGCCTCCCATTTCATGTAAATCCCACTGAAGTTGCAGACGGACTTATCGTGTTTCGGATCACCTACTGCCCCGCAAGCGGCCTTTGTTGTCACTTGACTTGCACGGCGACGCGACGCCGGGACTCCCAGCCAGCCCGTGTCGCGGCGTCGCAGCGGCGGGGCCTTGGCTCCACTTAGGACGACCGTTCGAATGGGAGCGCGCCGCACAGCCTATTGGCCGGTTAATGACTCCGACACACCTGGCCGGCCGGGACACCCTCTCGGCGCGCCTCTCTCCACCCGGCCCTTTCTCGGATCGTCGAGCCTCTACTCGATGACGCTGCCTGCAGCACGAAAACAAACTGGTCACTTCTTCTCCAGTTTCCCTGGGGATTGCGCTTGTGATTCACTTGAACCGCCGGCGACGCAGAGACGGACGCGTGCGTCTCCTCGGCCGCCACCAGGCTGCCACGCCTCCCCACGCCAGGGAACCAACCGCCATTACTTGATATTTACGACGGGTTGACTCGCGACGGAGCGCGTCCGCGCGCCCGGAGAGGTGGCGCGGCGGCGACGCGTGATGACATGCTGCTTTGTTGTCCGCGAGTGACGGTCGCGGTTTAAAACGCGGAGGGCAAAAAAAGGGCGCCACTTTGCGTCACGTGCTTGAAGGCCCTGCCGCCGGGGCGCCGACTGCGGAAGGGCCGCGCCGTGTGGAGTCCTTCCCTCTGATGTCTGCAGAGTCAAATTGGGCCGTTGACACCTTGACCGGCTTGCGCCGCTCGCGACTCCCCGACAGACAATGGCTCCCCCTGTCCCTCTCGCTCTCTCTCTCTTCCTCGCGGTCAAGTGAGCCGCGGACCAGCTTTTCCCAGGGCGGTCTGGACAGTGCTGGTTATCGCCGCGACGACCTTGACCATGAGTCGCCTGCCCAGAAAGGACCATCAGCGTTCGGAAGAAGCCACTTCGTATCGCTTGTGTGTGCGTGTGGCTGTGTGTGTGTGTGTGTGTGTGTGCGCGCGCGCTCGCGTATATGTTTTGGTGTGTGTGTGTGTAGGTGTGTAGGTGTGTGTGTGTGTGTGTGTGTGTGTGTGTGTGTGTGTGTGTGAGTGAGTGTGTAACGAAGCGCGAGCATCTGACGTCATATTTCATTTGCGAGACGCTAATAGATTAATGTATTGCGCTGTGTGCTTTCGGTGGCCACTAATTGCAGTGGGGTCCAGACCCCGTGGTGGTCTCGAGCTCCCGAGAATTGGACTGAGAAGAAGAAGAAGAAGGAGGAGGAGGAGGAGGAGAAGGAGGTGGCGTCCGGCAGGTCGACATTTGGCTGGAGTACAAAGTAGCCCAAGTTCAGTCCGCGCGGCGCGTGTGTGGTTAAATAAAAGAGACAACTTTCAGCAGGCCGCGAGCGGGTTGCAAAAGCGGCACCGGGCCAGCCGCGCGCGATTCCATAGAGTGGCGTTTCGCCGCTGTCTCCGTCGCACTCGCGGGGCGTTGCGTCGGCGTGCGAGAGAGACAGGGCGAGACTCCCCGGAATGGGTCGGCGGGAGGCGGGAGTTGACTCGGGCGGAGCGCGGCAGAGCGGCCGTGCTTCTGGCCGTGTGAGCGATGTGTGCTAATTCGATACCCGGTTACGTCAAAACGCGCGCGAAGTCGCCTGGTGCTCGAACCGCCGTCGTCGGATGTCTCCGTCGATCAGCCGAGCGGGTGCAGCGCCATAGCAGTGCGCGGCGTGCACTTGCAGCACTCGCGTAACAGTGAAAGTCCCACTTGTGTCAGATTCCTGACATTCACCGAACCGAGAGTTGTGATGATAATGACCGAAAAGGTGCGCGGCGTGCTGCGCCTCGACAACACCGCCGCAACGGCACCGCCTGCGGAGCCACGATACGCGGGTTCGCGCCCACCCCGCGGCACGCGGCACCAGGCACGCGGAGCAGTGATGGACCGTGGAACGACTTCCCTCCGCGGAGCTCGGGAAGACGTTCCTCAGCCTGGCGAAATAACAGCTTGACACGAGGATAGAGGTTTACCGGAGAAATGTGGTGTTCGCGAGGTAAACAACAACAAGAAACACACACACACGCACTCACACACGCACACGATGCAACCAGGCGGAAGTCGAGCTATGTGGAAAGTCTGTTCCGTTTGAAGGGGCCATGACTCATGCATATTGGCAAAACGGTGCAGTGACAGCAGTCCATTCAAAGTGCGCATTGTATAACGCGACGACCGACGCGCGGTTGCGCGTGTTGCCAATACCCCGCACTCGATCTGCTTCCAGCGCTTTCAGCGTCTCTGGAGCGTGGGGTAGCGGCGCAGCGACACAATGATCCCTTTGATGGGCGACTGTACGCACAACACACTTGTCGGCAGTCGAGCGCGACTCGGACGCGAATGGTCAATTACTTTCTCGACACGCGTCCGCACACTGGCGGCCCTGTGTTCTCGCAGTGCAGTGGGCAGTGGGGCGGACGTGGACTAACTTGGGGAGTCCGTCTCGCGACGGGTTTAGAGGTTAAAGGGGCAATTTTGTCGAGAGCGTTCAAAATACGCCATGTTCCGTGTGGCGCACTCGGCTGACTGCGAAGGTGTGCGGTAATTTCAATCGCAGTGGCCGGTAGCGAGCGGCCGTTGCCGGTCCGAAAGACTGACGACTTGTTTAGTCTGTGGCGCGTTTGACTGAGTACGTTTTGACGCAACAGAGCAGTGGTGTCTTTAGCTCAGTGTTAGTTACTGGTCCTCCTCCGCGACGCACATTTTCCTCCTTGGTTTTTCCATTGCAGGGCACTCCGAAGTAAGTTACTGGAGTGACCTCAGGCCGCCTCGGGGCTGGCTGCCTGCCTGGCTGCCTGGCTGCCTGCCTGGCTGGGCGGGGCGCGGTCGCTCGGCATGTGGTGTACTGGGCCACTTACTGCAAAGCGCGCGCCAGCTCGAAACGCGTGGGCGTGGGTGGCACGCCGCGGAGCCGGGACGCCGGGACGCCAAAAGCCGCCTAGAGGCGCCGCGGCCGCGCCGCACCTACGTGGGTTCGAACCCGCGACTACCGGCCGCACTGCGGCGCGAGCGATCTACCCGATACCGCGCTGGACTGGTACTGGCAATGTCGAGGCAATGCCGAGGCACTGCCGACCGCAGTGATTCAGCTGTTTGCCGCGAGGAAGTGGGTGCGGCCCTGTGTGTGTGTGTGTGTGTGTGTGTGTGTGTGTGTCCAATTCACTGTAATCCTGTTTCACTGTAAATCCTATTCCCTGTAAATGCAAGCCCTTATCTTACGTGAGGTCGTGAGGTGGCCGTGTGTGGTTAGCTCGGGGTCTAGCCCATTGGCCAGCGACTGACCATGGCAAGGCCACGCGCGCAGGGCGCAAGGCAGGCAGGGCTGGAGGCCTTTTAAACCTAACAGTGCAGACGACGATCTCGCGGCCTGCGTGGACTGCTTGGTGCGCCACGTGGGTCTGATGCCCGACAGTCATTCCGATCAGTCTTGTCCTCGCCCTGCCTCTCCCACACCCCTGCGCAACGCCCCGCCGGAGTGCGAGAGAGACACAGCGACGACCATCCGGAATCCGACTGCCGGGCCCTTCGGTATAGTTCCGTTCTGCACAGAGTAGTCGCCCCGTTATTTTCGCCTTATTACGCAATTGGGCCGCGCATAGGCAAGGCTGCAGTAAGAGCGAGAGAGACGGACAATCGAAAGGACTGCATAATGGCGCACACGTTCTAAACGGCCGGCCGGCCCGCCGTACGCGCGCTGGCCGTAGCATGGCTTTAGCAGCGTAGTCTAACTCTCGCTCGGCAGTCGGTGCAGCAGCGGGCGTGGCTTTTACTTTCGTTCACTCCCTTTTTATTTTTCGCCCTTGATTTTCCAAGGAAGTATATTGCACCGTTCCAAAATGAGAAACCGAAACAATTTTAAAAATATAACCGCAGAGGCGCGTGCAGTGCCGGGAACTGGACCACAGTACAGTCCGATCCAGGAAGCCCCGTAGTCGCGTGGAGGCTTCATCGCGCTGCCGGCCGAGGCTGCGGAGACGGCCGTCCCGCGGCGTTCCTCGCACGCCTCGATTTCGCCGCGCCTTCAACGCCAATCGCCACGCCACGCCGCGAGGCTAATTGTTCCACACCTTGCCACAGGTACGGCACCCGAGTCCTTCCTTCCTGGTGCTGACCATCGTGCTCTCTTTGTTGTTGTTGTTTTTGATACGCGTCGAGCTAATCCGCGCTGCCGTGTCTGCCTGTATTATTTTATAGACGCACGGTTCTGGGAATAAACGACGCCTAATGGCGAACAAATTGTATTCGCACCGAGCCGCATGGGTGAAAGCATCCCCCCTCTCCCTCGCCCTCCGCCCGCCCCTCCCCCTTTCTCTCTCCCTCTCTCTGTCTCCTCTCCTGGTGCGTAATGAATGCTAAGCAATTACACAGTCACACCGCACACAGCGCAACCGCCGCCGCCGCGCCTTCAAACAGACAGTCGAGCTGTCGCGTGCGAGAGAGAAACGGAGAGAGGGACGAAAAATCTCAAAAATAATAGAGAAGGCGCACACTTTTGCGGCGCGCTCCTTTTTGCGGGCACCAAACCACGACACGCGGAAACGGGACGGCCTCACTTAGCCTCACTCACACATACACGGACGGAGGCGCGCCTGCACACACGCGCACACACCAACACACACACACACACACACACACACACACACACACACACACACACACACACACACACACTAATCAGCGCACACGCCAGTGTGGATTGGGCGGCTCGCCTTCAAATGGCTTTCGTGATGTTGACGGTTGGTGCCGCGGTCGCCTCGGCCGGCGCGCTGACCGCAGGAAAAAGAGGTGATCCTCTTCTTCTTGTGCAGCGCGATGGACGCCGGGCAGGCCGGGCACGGGGGGCACCACCGGGAGGCGCACCGCGATGAGGGGCTCTAAAAATACCGAGACTCCACGCTACCCGTGCCCCCTCTCCTTTTTTCTCGCACACTCACTCAAAGACACACACACTGACTCTCGCACACGACAAATCGAGCACGAGCCATCCAACGTGAGTACCCATCGACTGGCCGCCACTGCAAACACGAGACGGAAGGCTTCTGGCGGAAGGAGCGCCTGCGAGGTAGGCCACCGCCTCGCTTCGACACACCGCTGCACCGCGGCTGCCTACCTCGCGGGCTGCGTCGCCCCGCGCCGTCCGCGCCGCGCTGCGAGAGGCCGCCGCCGTCGCCTCTCTCCGTCTCTCTCTGTTTCTCCCACCGCCCAATGCCACGGCACGCTTCTGCCTTGCCGGGTCGCGGGTCCCCGGCGGCGAGTGTGAGAAAATGTACCTGCGCGCGCACACACAGTGCCTCTTCTTCGAGTTTGCTTTGCAACGACGCCGAGCCCATGGTGTCCTAAGCGCCCGCCGTGCCGTGCCACGCCGTGCCGTGCCGTGTCGTGTCGCGCCACGCGACATCACGACTTTTATGTAACGTGCGCGACGCTCTTTTATTCCTGCAGCGAAAGGTGTGCCGAAGGCAAATCGAGCCAGTAAGGGCAGCGCGGTTCCACTCGGCTCGGCTCGCCACGGCCCGGCCAACACGCTGCTCACCATTCATTCATTGCTGCATGATAATTGTCAGCCACGGCACGGCCACGGCACCCTAGTGGGCAACGTGTTGCCAACTGACTTGCGCGCGCGCGCGTGTTTGCGTGTGCGTGTGTGTATGCACGCGCGTGTGTGTGTGCGTGTGTGTGTCTGGTAATCCCGCGTGCCGGCGCGTGCGACACGTCTGTCACCGTTTTTGGCGTGACGTCACCCGGTGCCCATCGACAATGTGCTATGAATATATGTTTTTGTTTTCGTTCGTGATTGGCTCTTGGTTTGTCGGAGTGTACCGCGGGGCCGTTGGCCTGGTATCGCGGCGCCGCGTCTCCTGGAATCAGGTCATAAGTGAAGCTGATTGGGCTGGCCGAGGCACTGGACGCGGCGGGGCGGGGCAGGGCGGGGCGCTCTGTCATTACCGGAGCGATGCGTCGCGCCCAAAGAAAAAAAATAATTGCGGGGATTCGATCCCGGGACCGCGCGGCCCGTGGATCAAGCTGAGTGCTCGTAAGGGAAAGCGGGGCGCCGATTGGACGACCGTAAGACAGATATTCGCGCCAGATCGCCAGGGCTCGCAACGAATGTGGACTGTCGGACCAAACAAAAAAGTGCCGCCGGCCGCTGGATTTGAACCCACAACCTCTCGTTCTAATGACGACGACGCTGACACCACGGCTAACGCGCGCGACGGCTCTGTGCTTCCAGATGGTGCGCGTGGCTGCCTTGCTGCTGGCGGCGGGCTGCCTGTCGTGCCTGGCCGGGCCGTCGTCGGCGAGGTGCCTGCGCGGGTCGCGGGGCGTGGCGGTGGCGGGGCGGGGCCCCAACCGGAGGGTGGCGCGCCAGGCGCCAGCCAGCCCCAAGTACGATGCGGCCTTCATCACACAGTACCTGGCCACCACCTACGAGCGGGACGCCAGCGCCGCCTGCAACCACGCCATCACCGCCGAGTGGGAGTACATCACGGACCTCACCAACAGCACCAAGGAGGCCATCTACGTGAGTCCCGGGTTCGACTCCCTCGAGAGGCGCAGCCGAAAACGACACAAGGCCTTGTTTTTCTGCGCAGAATGAAGCGAGCCTGTCGCTGGCCGCCTTCGAGAAGGAGCAGTGGGACGAGTACTTCCAGAACCTGGACCCGGAGGAGTACGAGGACCCCGTCGTGCGGCGCCAGGTCGAGTTCCTGCTGTCGCTGGGCGTGTCCGCGCTGGACGAGCAGGAGCTCAAGGACCTCAACACGTACGAGCTGCGCATGCAGAACGTGTACAGCACCGCCAAGATCTGCCCGTACCGCAAGCAGCGCTGCGACCTGGGCAAGGAGGGCTACGAGCTGGACCCCGGTGAGGCGGATGGGTGGCCTACCGCCACGGCGGCGCCGCGCTCGACGCCGTGCTGACGACCCCCCTCCTTTGCAGAGATCGAGAGCGTGATGGCCAAGAGCCGCGACTACGACGAGCTGGCGTACACGTGGAAGGCGTGGCACGACGCCTCGGGGAAGCACATGCGCCAGGACTACAAGAACTACGTGGCGCTGCAGAACAAGGCCGCCGTCGCCAACGGTAACGTCACCGCACCGCTGCCGGCCACCTCAGCCGACACCGGGAACCTAATGTTTCTCTCTCTCCCCCGCAGACTTCGAGAACATGGGTCACATGTGGCAGGCGGGCTTCGAGACGGACTACTTCTACGAGGACATGCAGGACCTGTGGGACCAGGTGTTCCCGCTGTACGAGGCCCTGCACACGTTCGTGCGCCGCCGGCTGCGGGCCTTCTACGGCGACAAGATGGGCGAGGAGGACGGCCTCATCCCCGCCCACATCCTGGGTATGGCCGACCCCACAGTTTCTCATATCCCGGCTCGCAGCGCGGCCGTTACAGTGTAGCCGGCTGATGAGCAGTAAAAGTGCACTTCGCGGGCCGCGGCTTTACGCCGGTTCAAGTGGCACGCGTTGCCGCGGCGCCGCGAAAACACGAATGGCCTCGTAAAAAGACGCGGACAAATTAATCACCTTCTGTTTCGTCTGCCGCCCCCTGGCGTACTTTGCGTGTCACTGTGCCACCACGTCGACGAAGTGTGAGTGATTTGTCGTTGCGTCTCGCAGGCAACATGTGGGGCCAGTCCTGGATCAACGTGTACGACCTCGTGGAGCCCTTCCCGAACGCGTCGTCGTACGACGTCACCAAGGCCCTCATGGAGCAGGCAAGTCCCCAAAACACGCCATTCTATGCGAATAAAAACAATCAACTCGCCCCTCTTAATTCATTTGACTCTACAGGGATACAACCCGCTGAGGATGTTCCGCAAGTCCGACGAGTTCTACACGTCCATGGGGCTGCAGTCCAGCAACATGTCCTACGGGCCCAAGGCGGTCATCGAGAAGCCCCGGGGCCGCGAGATCATCTGCCACGGCTCGGCCTGGGACTTCTGTGACAGGAAGGATTTCAGGTGCGTCCCATTCGTCGAATTTTACGGCCGAACGCGGCAGAGCGGCGACAGTGGTGCTCTCTGGCGGCCTGGCGGCGACACGCGATACTCCGCGACCCGGCGCGTGGGGTATCCACAGGCCTGACTCGATCGGCATTCTCCCACAGGATAAAGATGTGCACGAAGGTGAACCAGGACGACTTCAGGACCATCCACCACGAGATGGGCCACATTCAGTATTACCTGCAGTACAAGAACCAGCCCTACATGTTGCGTAGCGGGGCCAACCCAGGTGAGTTCACGCCACCAGGAGGTGAGGGTTGGAGCCCGGACTGGAACTCACCACGCTGCTCTTCCACGCAGGCTTCCACGAGGCCATCGGAGACACCATCGCGCTGTCCGTGGACAACCCCAAGCACCTCAAGGCCATCGGGCTGCTCAAGAACTACGAAGACTCGGACGAGAGCAGCATCAACGCGCTCATGAAGATGGCCCTGGAGAAGGTAGGCGGCTCGGCGCTACCCCCGGCGGCAGCCCTCGGCACTACCCCACGCCTCGCGGTTCCATGGCGCGGGGTAGTGCGGCGCGGGACAGTGCGGTGCGGGGTAGTGGAGCGCGGGGTAGTGCCGCGCGGGGTAGTCGACGGGGTGCGTTGAACGGCTTTTTGAACGGCCTGTGCTTTCAGGTGGCGTTCCTGCCGTTCGGGCTGCTGGTGGACATGTGGCGGTGGGACGTGTTCGCCGGCAACGTGACGGAGAGCGAGTGGAACCGGCACTGGTGGCTCCTGAGGGAGGACATCCAGGGCCTCCGCGCGCCCGTCAGCCGCTCCGAGGAGGACTTCGACCCCGGCGCCAAGTTCCACGTGCCCGGCAGTTACCAGTACATTTCGTGAGTACAGCGAGTCAACGAATTTTTGCGTGTGACGACAGGGACACTTTAATCCGGATAATTTGACGTTGATCGCTTTCTCTGCAGGTACTTCGTTGCGGACATCCTGCAGTTCCAGCTGTACAGGGCGCTGTGCATCGAGGCGGGCGAGTACCGGCCCGACGACCCCACCAGCCCGCCGCTGCACAAGTGCGACTTCTACAACTCCAAGGAAGCTGGCGCTAAATTCAGGTGCGTGCAACTCCCGCGGAAAGCAGGGTCGTGAAAATCACGTGTCCGAATGACGAGACCTGGGGACTCCTAACTACTCGGGCCAAACTGCGACAAAGTAACTCACGCTTTTTTGCCTCGGCAGCAAGGGCATGGCGCTGGGGGCGTCGGTGCACTGGAGCGAGGCCCTGGAGACGCTGACGGGGGAGACCGAGCTGAACGCCACCGCTCTGCTGGAGTACTTCGAGCCCCTCCACCGGTTCCTGAGGGAGGCCAACGGCGACCTGGAGGCCGAGGCGTCGCCCGTCTCCGAGGACGACGCGAGCAGTGCCGCCACCACCGCCACAACGACCGCCGCCACCCTCGCACTGCTACTGCTCTCGATACTTAATCGTTACCTTTAGTAAAGTGATATTTTCTTTTTTTGTTAAACGCGTCTTGTTCTTGCCTCCTTGTCACTCCTGGCCGCGGCGTCGCAGCGCTTTCGCTCTGAGCACCAGTCCCCAGGACGACGGCGGCGACGGCGCCCAGTTCGGCGGCCGCGTGGCCTCGGCGTCGGCCAGCAGGGCGCGTGCGTGCGCACGGCCGTGCTGCAAGAGGCGCTCGCCGGCCTCGATGCCTGCGACACGCAAACAAGTAACATCCACGATAACGACAAGCAAAGTTGTTGCAAATAGTTTACTTGCACACCTCGGAAGCAGACAGCGTTCCAAAGCACGGCGACGGACGGCAGGAAGTCGCGGTCCGTTGCCGCGTCGTGACGGCTGGACAGAGACTGCACCTTTGCGTACAGCGCCATAGCGAACCTGTCACGACGGGGCTGCGATGCACTCATTGGTCGGCTAGCAAACACTGCATTGGGGAGTCAAACAACGCAAACGAACATGGTTTGTGAGAACAACCCCTTACCGGTGGTACCGCGGCGCCAGCGGCCACGCCCCGGCCGCGGCCACGGGCACGGACAGGAGCGCGTCCAGGATGGCGTCCACGGCGATGACGTCACCGCGGGCCATGCACTGGTCGGCCACGGGCAGGAGGGCGCACAGGCGTCGCGCGGCCCCCTGCGACGAGTGAGGCTGTGAATTTGTTTTCAATCGTTCTGCGTATTTTCAACCTCATTTTAAGCATAGGGAACAGACAAAGAAAATTTCTGCGGATGAGGACACTCCGAAAAAGGCCTCTTCCCTGAAGAAGTGGTTCTCCCCAAACACATTTTTGTGTTTAATTGTAGGTTAGGCTTTTACCCAGAAGGGCCCCATCCACCGCTTGCAGTTTTCACTGGTTCTTAATTTTTGGCGAGATCGGAGGGCGGAACATGGCAGCGGGCGATGCCCAAGGCGATGCCATTCCCGCGTGCGATGGGGTGGCTGACTCACCGCCACCCTCGTAAAGATCGCCCTCCGTCGCCTAGGCGACGGCCAGGTCCACCATTTCTACGGCCGTTTTATGTCCTGCGGGCGTGCGCAGAGGGGACGCGACGCGACGCGCCGACCATGGCCACACGCGCTCATTTTGCCAAGCGCTGCACGACTTTGGACCGTCCAAAAACGAAAAGAAAAACAATCTCTGTGGTTTACCTGCGGACTGCGGGCTCGAAGGATCCACGTGGTGAAGGCGGAAGTCACCCTTTCCTGTTCGCGCAGCAGTGCCAGGATTTGGGGGGCCTTTTCGGACAGGGGCGCACCGCCAAGGCTGGCCAGAGCAGCGACCTCCGCTGCGTGAATCTAGAAAAGAAAGTTGAATGAATGAATGAATGAATAAATGAATGAATGAATGAATGAATGAATGAATGAATGAATGAATGAATGAATGAATGAATGAATGAATGAATGAATGAATGAATGAATGAATGAATGAATGAATGAATGAATGAAACACATATTCTCGCACCCATTTTTGGTCAGCAACGTGCTCCCTCTAGTTAAAACTCACCCTGAATACCATGCTGGCGTGACTGATGGCCATTTGCCTGACTGAGGGAATCGAAGGCTTTACCGAGAGACGTGACGTCTGGCGTTTGGCTTCTGTGCATTCAGCGCGCCTCGCGTCCGGGAGAAAGGACAGCTCCGACACCACGGCCCTGGTCTGATTACAATTATTAAGATATGCGAAATGGCTTTAAAATCATTGAGCAAGTCACACCTCTAAAAGACGTCGAAATGCCGTCGGTATGCGGTGGAGCTCGCCCAGGCCGTGCAGAAACAACGGCAGCGGACGAACCAAGCTGAAAGAGAAAGAACAACGTGCCCTAAATGTACAGTGCGAGCGAAACCTTACATTCATGGTATATGTCAAATTTTATGTGATGAAAATTTTTCCTCCGTCTTAGTTATATCGCCAAAATAATGAACAAAAAATAGTTTGGCGTTCGACTTTTAATTTCAGAGTGAAACAATGCAGCCTATCAGCAAATACGAGAGGATGTCTGCTTCCTGTCCGTGATCTGCAACCACCGGCGACTTCCCAAACAATGGAAGGGGTTGTTCCGTGGGTTGTTCGCCTTCACATAAACCACTGAGACTTGAAGTTGACACAGTAGGTAAAGTCACTCCAGACGAAGTCTGAGCAGAGACATAGAAGTAAATTATTTCTGAATTAATTAATATTAGTTTTGACCAGTAGAGAACGCTGCCGTGCGCACCGGTTGCGTGGTAGAGGAGCGGGCAGCCTTCAGGAAGAGCGTGTTTGTACACTTTTCTGGCACTCCACTGCCAAAGCGGGGAATGCGCACTGATATGGGACGCACCTTGTGGGACCTGGGGCGAGACAGTCGCAAAAAGATTCAAGTTTGACCGCCAAATTCTCCAAGTATTATTGTCCACACCTTTTGGCTTGCGGCGGTCTGTGCCGCCTCGTCGGCCTCAGCTGTTTGGACGGTCTGGTCGTGCACAACAGGCTTGTCATGGAGTACTCCCGCGCAGGCACCAGGACGCCCGCGGTGAAAGGGGACGGCAGCCACAGGTCCCGGTCCGTCCAAATCTCCGGAAAGAAAAACACTTTCTCAAATATTTCTAAGTAGGAAATATTTCTTTTCGCTGTGTGGAGCGGTCACAGCAAATTGCTGCGCGATTCCCTCCCACCGCCATCTAAAGCTGGAACGTAAAGCGGCCCCAGCCATCAGGGTGGCTGTGCGCCTCCATGCCGCGCCGCCCTCACCCCTCCAAGGACGGCGCGTCTGGCACGCGCGAGGGCACTACCATGTCGTGCTAAGTTTCTAGAACCGTTTTCGCCAACTTTTGCATGCCTTTGATACGGAAAGCGATTATCTGCCTTTGTTTGGGAGCAGTACTGCCGCAAAGTTGATCAAAACGGTCACAAATGTCTTTGAAAAATCGTGTTTTGGGCCGACTTTAATCATCCACTGCGTCTGATCCGAGGCGGTATTTCGTCCTCCCTCAACGGGCAATTGGTCTTTGGACCTTTCTTTTGCATGCCTTTGATACGGAAAGCGATTATCTGCCTTAGTTTGGGAGCAGTGCTGCCGCAAAGTTGATCAAAACGGTCACAAATGTCTGTGAAAAATCGTGTTTTGGGCCGACTTTAAGCATCCACTGCGTCTGATCCGAGGCGGTATCTCGTTCTCCCTCAACGGGCAATTGGTCTTTGGACCTTCCTTTAGCAAGCCTTTGTTACGGAGTGCGGTTATCTGCCTTCGTTTGGAAGCAGTATTGCCTCAAAGTTGATCAAAACGGTCTCAAATGTCTGGAAAATCGTGTTTTGATCAACTTTGCGGCAATACTGCTCCCAAACTAAGGCAGATAACCGCACTCCGTAACAAAGGCATGCTAAAGGAAGGTCCAAAGACCAATTGCCCGTTGAGGGAGGACGAGATACCGCCTCGGATCAGACGCAGTGGATGCTTAAAGTCGGCCCAAAACACGATTTTTCACAGACGTTTGTGACCGTTTTGATCAACTTTGCGGCATTTAAGCAGCTAATTTAAAAATTAATAAATAACTCCAAGGTTACTGAAAATTGCCCATTTTATTGGAGTCTGCCTGCACTGTGCAACTGAATAACTTCAACAGACTAATACTACTGACTGCCCTTGCAACCCAGTTTGACTGACTTTGGCCGGCAATAAGAACTCGTTTCCACACCAAAATCACTCCCCAACTTGCCGAGGCGCGCGGTGGCTTCCATTCAGGCTGCCGCATATGACCGCCGTAAAGGCGACCGCCCAACGACCAATAAAACAAATCCCCCGCGCGTAAAAAGGAGAATGGGTTCCGCTAATTTTTGACACAATCGGCTGCCGTATTCCGCCCGGGCTGCGCTGGCTGCGCTCTGCTGCGGATGGCTCGGTTCCGGGCGCGGCGCGGGGCGCGCGGGACAGCCGGCCGGCCAGGGCGCTGTAAACTTGTCGTCCAACAGACGGGGTCGTAAAGGGGGCCTGAAAGGGAAGGGCTCAGGGTGAAGCCACCCCTCGCTTTGACGAACATGCCATGGAGGTGACACACACAAGGCGTGCCGGGTCACGGACCGACAGCTCGTAGTGGAATCGGCCGGGTCGTTAGGCGGCGTTCGAAGCGCCACGTGATAGTGTGGGTGGCGTCCGAGGCGCGGTGCTATATAACGCGTTTCGCTGGCGGTGCCCGCTGTCGCCATGAAGCTGCTCGCCCTGCTGCTCGTCGCGCTGTGCGCCCTGGCCGCGGCCCTGGCCGAGCCACTGCGCATCCCCGAGGACTTCACCTCGGACTTCGACGACAGCATCGTACGGGACCCCGCCACCGTCTACGACTACCACCCGCCCGCCGGGTCCGTCTACGACCTGCCCAAGCGTCGCCCCGTCGCCCTGCGCCCCTGGGAGATCTAGAAGCAGCGTCTTGTTGATGACGTGAACACCAGTGACACCAGTGACACCAGTGATGCGGTGAGCCTCCCCCCGCTCTGCAGGGCCGCATGGCTGACGCAAGCGGGGGAGGGGTTGGGGCGGGGTGACCCAATAAGCAATAGCGGCGGCCGAAAACCAGCCTCTTTCTCCCTGATCGTAAAGGCGCGGGGCGGGGCGGGGCCGCGTTGCCATGGCGACGCCGCAGATGTCCCCGTGGCAACGGCACCAGCGGGACGGGGACCCTCCCTCTTCGCGATGGCAGGCAGCCGGGGCGGAATATGGACGACGCGTACACTCTCAACAGCCAGTGGAACGTCAGTCGGAAACACGGATGTTTCGCCACTTGCCGACGCAGTGAGCTCGAAGAGTTTGAACTGATTCTGACGAAACAGTAATAAACAATCTGATGACCCACCTTTTTTGCCATGTTTGCTCGATTTCCGTTATCCTGGTGACATAAATTTTGAATGCTTGCCGAAACACATCCTTTGCGTGGTTACTATATCACTTCAAGTTTCCATGGTAACGAGGCATTGACCGACTTTAACGCGTGCACCCAGAAATTTACTGCTCACACATTGATACTTTAAACAGCCAC